ACACACACACACACACACACACACACACAGAGCATCTCCATTAATCATCTGCACATCTTCACACAATACATACAATACAGGTACAGACCACATAAACACACCAGATACATAACTGACAGCTCACTAGGCAGTGTTCTCTCTATTCTAATGAACCTTCACTAATTACTTTTAAATGATACTGCAGTGTGGCAAATTCATTTTCAAAAATATTAATATTTAATGTAATTTATAAATGAATATGAGCTCGTTTAAGCTGCATGCAGAGTGATATTACATCTGTCACTGCATGTCTCGGGCTGTCTTTTGCACTTTTATTGTATTTATATTATTTGGTCTGTGTTTAACTCTAGTGTAGCTCATTACAGAAACTGTATCGCACTCTTCTGTATACGGAGGGATGTTTATGGATTTACTGATCTGAATTACAAAAGAATCAGAAACATTATTTAAAGCAGTTTAAGACTGAGCTCAGGTTGTCACGCAACTCTTCACATACTTAGTAAATAACCTGTTAAATTAAGTTAAACGTGTGTAAACTCACCAGTGCGGGTCCTGAGATTTCGCGCCACTAGCCCGCGTGTTTCCGGGAAGCAACATGTCGTATTTCCGGTGTCCACATGAGCGCTGACAGCAGGGGGCGCTCTGCGGCCCACGAACCCGAACTATGCACAGGTCGAGTTTGAGCCTCAAGCAATTCGCCATCCAATTAAAGCACGTTAAACCTATTAATATTTGCCTACGTTATATTGTAATTAGTTTGCATTTAATTAAGTAATGCATTAACAAATGGTGCATGTATTGCATATAAATAACAGCTTGTCTTAACAGTAGCCTAAGTCCAGCAATGCAAAATGGCCTTATTCTTTATGATATCTATGTGTTTATGACCATTAAACTCCAACGAAATGCCACTGAATGCCAGTGTTTTCCAAAACCTTCTCTGCTTACTGGCCCGTGCTAGTTTAGAGTTACCGCATAACCTCTAAAATCCTAAATAAAGAAGCATTATTTTAGTCTAAATTAATTTTATTTACATAGTGCATGCTTGTACAG